ACCACAGAATACAAGAGAGGATAACCCAGTTGACCTAACGTAAACCGAGTTCACCACAGGTTTACCCTCACGACATAAACAAGGAATGCCAGGCGCAGTTCCCCCCCCCCCCGTACGTTGACAAGTGAGGGGGGAACTGCGCCCCCCTCCCCCTTCATGATAACACAACAGAACGAATATAAAATATATCGCGCTTGGGAAACATGGCGACAGTCTTCTAGGATGTACTAGAAGCTAGTTTTCCAGAGCTATACAGTTACAGGTGAGGGGTGAGGGGGGTATCCAGTAAACAGTTTACACAGGCTACGAGGTCACCGTACCGTGCACGGTGCATGGAATCAATTGACAAGGTTTGTACTGGTTAAAGTCATCCTCCTGGTCCACTTCCAAGAGCAGTTAGGAGTTGGGTTAGCAAGAACGAAAACAGTTTGAGGGAAAACAAAGATGTTGAGCGTACTTACCTAAGGCTGGGATGAGGTGAGGCTGCTTAACTTGTCGGTGGTGGTACTGGTGGGGGTTGTGGTGATGGTTGTGGTGATGGTGGTGGTGGTGGTGGTGGTGAGGTGTGAGGAGGTTATGCCCCTCACCACCGGACAACCTCCCCGGCGCAGAGTGTGGGGGCTGCCGGACCAGTGGAACACTGAGCATGGCGCTCGACGCAGTCAAGTCCCTGGCGCGGTCCGCGCTCGTCGTACGACACACGTCCTTAACACTAACACTCGTATTCACAAAACTCCCGCCCTGCCGGCCCTCTGTCCTTCTAGGGTCCTCCATCCTAGCACCTCCCCAAGATTTGGTATACTGAGGTTTATGGAGCAAACTTGAGCTTCCCTGAGTATGGCCGACGGCGGGAACCTCCCCTCGATATTGTCCAAGGGTTGGGACAGTGCCCCGATACTGTTCAGCCGAGGGGGCCAGGCTGTGGAGTTGGCCACGATTATGGACCGTACCCCGAGCCTGGCCAGAGGGATAGGGTACACGAAGGCCACATGGATTACCTAAATGCTGGCCCGAGGGATAAACTACTCGGTGTGGGCCAGGTAGTCCTTGAGGGTGATCGGACGGATAGGCTACCCCTCCAGGATGGAGGGAGTGGCGCGCCACGCTTCCGGGTGAGTAGGGTAGTGAGCTAGAGGAGACTGGGAGACTGCTCCAGTAACATCAGCCACGCGCAGGTGGGTGTAAGCGCTATTCCCACACATCGAAGTGCCTCTCTGCGGTGGGTGTAAGCGCGCGTACGCCGCAGCAAGCTCGGGCTTAATTGGAATAAGTTCGCGTTTTATTTCAGTAAGCTCGGGCTTAATGTGAGCCTTTGTTAGGTCGAGAGCGGAGGCGAGAGTGTGCGAGTAGGGTCTGGTTGCTCTGAGCCTCTCGTTAACCATCGTCTCCTCCGGGGACCTGCTTCTCTTCCTCTTGGTCAAGGTCGCTCCTGAAGGCAAGGCAGCGTCCTCGTGCGCGAAACGAGACGAAGAGACTGCCATGAAGGCTGACGGGGCCTTCGGACTGTCTAGACTGACGCTGCTGGGGGGACCAGGAGAGAAATTATTTAATAGATATCCCAAGCCATACGCTGGCGGGGAAGTCGACGTAGTGGTAGGACGCACAAGTCTATCGTAGAGATCATCGCTGTCATCGAACTTGAATATGGATACTGGTGTGTCTGGAGGGCTGGCCGGCAAGTCTTTAGCCTCAATGACGGTCTGATGGTCAGTGTCGTAACTATCACTTAGTCTCGGCCGCTTCTTGGGATGTAACTTGGAGTTAGGTGAGGCTGAGTCTTGTCTGCCCTCCCTGGCACTGTAGTCCAAAGGCTCTAGGGCCGGCATCGGCTTGCTGATGGCCGGTGACTGTAGCGGAAACTCTGCTGTGTGCTCTTTACTCATACGTGACATGATGAACGTCTTCAGCTTTGGGGTGTTGCCTTGGTCCCTGAAGAAGGCGAAGGAGGGAGACTGAGGGGAGCGCACCTCCGCCTCCAGAGCATCTTCGGTGTATTGCGCCTCCATTCTTAGCCTCCCAGTACACCGGCTCCAAACAGGGAAAGTCTTTCCACAGGTTAAGCAGGAAAGGTCTTGCAAAAGGGGGAGCTGCCTGACCTCTGGGGGGGCCCGCCCTAACGGCCTTGTTTCGTGGATAACATCCTCACTCAACACTTCACACTCGTCACTTTGTGCGCCACTCCTACATTCAATAAACACTTGAAATGCTTCTCTTATAATTCACACATGTAAATATATCTATCACTTGGAGGTAAGGCACAGTCGAGCACACATCACTCCACCACAGTACCACAGCATCTTCCCTTCTTGTTCCACGTCATTTCTCGGGTAACATAACCTGTGTTCAAAACCCCTCTCACCGAGAGAGCAAGGCTGGCATGGCAGCTGAGCGAGGAGTAACGTGGGTGCCCACAGGAAGGACAACTGCCTGTGTTGGCAGCTGGAGTCACACTACCCCGCGAGCAAGTATCCTCTGGCGTCCACCACAACCCTGCATATCAGTGATAACGCCACTCACAACACCCCGTCACGAGGACGCGCTCGTTTGTCTTATCACCGAGGCCTGCCACCGAGCAGATGGGTTAGTCAGTCAGTTAAGGTGGCGATAAAACCTGCACATGTAGGCACCTGCGACGCCTCCACACTACACAACGGACGTCGCAAGGCGATGCTCTTAGAGGGGGGAGGGAGAGGGGAAGGGAATGAAGGGTGGCTCTGCTAGGCACTCTCCTGACTCCGCTGCTGTCCGTGTGGCACTCCCAGCACGCGCGGGGGATTCATCTTACCTCGGGATCAAAATAGACACGCACTCATCTCCTACACGAGCCGTTGTGACCTTAAGACTGCGGTGAACGCCGGCCGTGGCCCGTGGACACATGGTGACTGCCACACACACGAAGCAAACTTGAGAGCTTGACACTGTGGCACTCGTCCCGCCTCCAGGAAGGATGCCTCTCTGCTCTCCCCCGGGCACAGCGCGATAGCCGACCGTTGA